GGACTGGGGCACGAACCCGTGTCCCCTGCATCGGCAGGTGGACTCTCAACCACTGAGCCACCAGGGAAGCCCCCACAAAGTTGTATTTTTAATGCCTCCTGCAAATACATACGAAAGATGTAAGGTGGTTTCAAATAAACACTGTCAACTAGAACAAAAGCATTAAAAAAATCAGGAGTGTTGTCAAAACAGCCTCACCTGCACCCCAAATAGTGTGAGGTCATCTTAGGCCCTCCAGCCCCAGTTAAACTGTTAGATATAATTCCAGGTGACAGAAGTAATCCCAGGTGACGCCAGTAGAAGGGCTACTCAGATTTCCAGCAGTGCCCTGTTGTGTGGTGTGTTATGTAGTAAAAGGGAACTCCGCGGCGGCGGCGGCGGCGGCGGCGGCGGCGGCGGCGGCGGCGGCGGCGTTGGCGGCGGCGTTGGCGGCGGCGACGGCGCCCGGGCAGCAGCGGCAGCGGCACCGGCAGCCCTGAGCAGGGTGAGACGGCCGCGGTGGCGGCAGCTCGGGATCGGGCGGCGCCTGGAGCTTCCCGCCCGTTGCTGGCGCTAGGCCCCTCGGCTCTCCTCCGCCCGCTCCTCCTCACGGCCCTGGCTGGGTCCCGGCAGCGCGCCCCCGGGGAGGGCGGAGCCGTAGGTGAGGCGCAGGGACCCTTCCCCCTCCGCACCCTGCGGGGGGGATGGGACGTCCGGGTGGGCGGCCCCACCCAGCCCACCGACGAGCTCGGGGGCGGTGGCGGCGGCGGCTGCGGGCGCCTGGCTTCTGAGGCGTGGTGTTGCGCGCGAGGTGGGGAGGTGTACGCCTCGCGGAGCCCCGGGAGGCTGGGGTGCGGTCGGCTGGGTCTGGGATTTGGGTATTGATGTACAGCGTTGAAAGAGACGAGGATTCTGGTTTTTTTCCTGCTATGAAGTGGTCAGGTAGGAGATGGAGGCTTGGCTTCCAAGAGGAAGATGAGCTGTGGATGTTGCCTTTGAGGCAGTTCGAGAAGCTATTGCACTAGGTCTCACATCTCTACTTTAGGATTTGGGGTCTTTTTTTCCTCCAGGCGGAGCGGGTGGGGCGTCGAAGGGCGGGGAGAATCCCTCTGCTTTTGGCTCGGGATGTCAGCGTGGATGGGTTTGGAGTTCTGCACCGTTCAGGAAGAGCGAGATCTTGGGTTAGACAACTTCCTTCTGGCAGCAACATTGGGGAATAGGTCCCAGAGCACTTAGTTCCTTAAAGGCGTTGTTTTCTAGTCTTTCTTCTGTGCCTGAACGATCTCTGTGCCACCTCGTTTTCAGAGCTCTATCCTGGCCCCTTAAGAGAGGGCCTGAGGATCAGGTGGTTGCTTTGGAAGACACGTTTCTGAGGAGTAGTCGCACGTGGTTCTGGTTGACTGCTTTGGATGGATACTATGAACAGTTTGAATAGTTCTGTTGGCGCTAATTATGCGAAACATGCTTAAATGTTTTGAAGCACAACTGTCTTTTACAACTCATGTTTTAGTAAACCTTGACAGCTATTTTGTGTTTAATTGTTGTAAAGTTACACTTAATTAACACTTAATTATTGGAGATTTCTAAAATTTCTCAGTTGCACATGTCTTTATTAGACACTTTAAAAGTGAAGTGGAATAATTTTTTTTTTTTGGTAGGTCCCTCAATTTCTCAGAAACGTTCTTGGAGCCAGGTGCTTTTAAAATGCTCTTTAGTAACATTTTGGGGGCATGTGTCTGTCATTGTATAGGGAGATGTTACTAAGAGTAAACAGTGTTCAACGTTCTTCACTTCAGTGTTTCACAACCTAGCACATTGAATCAGAATCTTCTTTTCTGGATTCCTGCTCCCTATTAGATTACAGTATTCACTGGCCTTACCTATCAGTTAATATCATTTAAGCTGTTTCTTCCTCGGAAAACAGGCCCTGAGATTGACATTTGTTATGTAATGGATGGAAGTAGGCATGACTCTCAGTAATTCATTTATGGAGGAAGGGAAACCGTCATGAAATGGAGTTTAAGCAGTGACTTTCCAAAGGCTTGCTCAATTTATTTGGGAACATAGCCAGGGAAGTGCTTTCCCATAACCTGAGAGAGAAATATACAGAGTGAGTGTCAGTAGGTGCCTTTTTTAACATGCCTACTTAATGAGCAGATTATTCTAGCAAATATTTCTGCTTGACGAAACTTGTAGGAAACAGATGATATAATAGCTATTAAGTGAGAAAGGGTGTGGTCCAATTTGTAATTATAAACTAAAGATTTAATTGTATTCCGACAGGTCAAATTATAAGTTGGTACAATAATAGTTTTGATATTGGACTAGTCACTTAGAAGGAAAGATTAAAATTCACATATCTGGTTTTGGCTTATAAATTATACTTTGATTTAATGGGGTACACATGGGGACAAATGTGAACTAAAATAGCGGTGAAACTTTGTACAGTGCTTAAATGACATTTCCATGGCTGACAGTGGGATGTGATTCTTCTCCTTGTTGGAATGCAATCATATGATTTGGGGAAAATGTAGGGTAGAAGTGTTCTATTTCTCTTTAGAATTTCTTAAGGCTGAGAAAACTGGTATGTTTTATTTTTCAAGAAATGTGGCTTGCTAGTCATTACTGCAATATCTTAGTTAAGTCTACTGGGGTGTCCCCCCCTTTTTTTTAATTACTAAAGTCAGGTAAGTATGTCATTGTGTTAATTCAACGTTAGTACTAGAAACAAAAGTGAAAATTCCCATAGCAACAGCTGCGCTTTTTCTATGCTACGTTTACGCTTTCAGAAGTAGTCTAAGATCTGTTAAATGTGCGTTTCGCACATACTGTGTAAAACACATTGATGGAGGAAGAGCAGGGAATGAAGTATTTTGGCTAATCCAGTAATAAACAATTTTAATAAACAATTTTCAGATAAATATAATGTAATAAAGTAAATTAAGCATAAAGGTTATGTGGAATATAGTTTACTTCTATGGCTTTTCAAAATGTGAGCCTGGAGGTGCTGATTCATTCATTTATTCATTCAACAGTTATTTATTGAGTATGGTTCTGGGTACTTTTTTTAGCCTTTGGGAATACAGTAGTGAACAAAGCTGACAGAAATTCCCACCTTCATGGAACTTATCTTCTGGACACCTTCTTGGGAAATGAAGAGGAATTCAGCCAAGGAGATTAATAAGAGGTTATTGAGGTAGGAGGAAAACCAGGAGAGTGTGATGTACTAGAAATGAAGGAAAGGAAGTTTTCAAGCAGGAGGGAATGTTCAACTGTGTTATTGTTTAAAGATGTGTCAGACTGTTGGGTAAGAAAGAATTCTGCCTGATTATAATGTCTAATAACAGAGAAATGACTAAATGCTTTTTAGTGTGAGATGAGACAAATGTAAGAATCTTTCAGTTTTTTACTTCCTTCGACTGATTTTTAAAAACATATATATTTCATTCTTTATTCTTTTCAGAACAAAATATGCAACCTGGGAGTTTATACTTGTACTAAGGAGAGGTATGACCCTGTTGTTACTAATTATATGTACACTTATTTTTTTAATACATGTATCAAATCAGAAGTTATAAAAGTATACAGGGAAAAAAATAAGTCTCTTCTGTCCCATCCAGTTACTCCTGAAGGCAGACACTGTTTCCAGTTTCTTGTTTTTCCTAACCAGTGAAATTTTGTGCAATAACACGGCATTTAGCTATTTTAAAATTGCATAAATATCACAAGTATTTTTATCCCCTATGTATTTTTTTTCGCAGGCTTAGTATTTGTTTTTATAATTTAAGTCTAGCTACCTGCAGACCTTTTTTTTTTTTAAATAACAGCTTTATTGAGAGACAATCCACATACCATACGATTCACCCATTAAAGTGTACAATTAAATTCTTTTGGTACATTCATCACCACGATCAATTTTAGAACATTTTCATCCTCCCAGAAAGAAGCCCCAAACTCATTAGCAGTCATTCCCCTGACCTTTGGTTTTAAAGCTCTCTTTTTTTAAAAAAAAATAATTAATTAATTTATTTTTGGCTGCGTTGGGTCTTCGTTGCTGCGCGTGGGCTTTCTCTAGTTGCGGCGAGTGGGGGCTAGTCTTTGCTGCCGTGTGTGGGCTCTAGGTGTGCAGGCTGAGCAGTTGTGGCTCGTGGGCTCTAGAGCGCAGGCTCAGTAGTTGTGGCGCACGGGCTTAGTTGCTCCGTGGCATGCGGGGTCTTCCCAGACCAGGGCTTGAACCCGTGTCTCCTGCATTGGCAGGTGGATTCTTAACCACTGCACCACCAGGGAGGCTCCGACCTTTGGTTTTTAAGTTAAGTATTGTTTTGCATATTATGTGGGGAAAACGTTTGTGAATTACTTTGTTTCCAGTTAAATGGTAGTGAAGCCATTTAGTGTTACTTTTAATATTCTCTGATTGAATAGAAGCATAGGTTTGTGTAAAAGTCAAATTAGTTAGTGGTTTATTTAGTTGCATGAATGGGCTCATAGGATGGATTGTAGGAAGATCTGAGATGAGATCTTAAGGATAAGTAGTATTTGGCCAGATGAAAAGGATGCAAGCAGAGGGAACAGCATGTGCAGGACCCAAAGGCAAGAAAGCTGTAGGGCAGGTAGAGTGATCTGAAGATAGTTTGGTCTGGCTGGAATGTTGAGTGCTAATGTGAGGTGTGGGCATCATTTCTTTCTGTGAAAAAGTGTGTTGTCTTAAAAAGGCAAAATAATTACATGATTAATTTGCTTAAACTGTTTGTGGATTGCTGTCACTTCCTAGCTATATAACTTTGGATGAGAAACTTTATTGTCTAAAACTCAGTTAAACTCTCGTTAGATGAGAATAATAGTCCTATCTGATGTGATTATTGTGAAGAATAAATGAGCTAATGCTCATAAAGCTTTTAATAAAATGCTTGGAATACAGTAAGTACTCAATAAAAATCAGCTGCCCTGATGATGACATTGTGGTGGTGGTGGTGGTGATTTTGATCATGGTGACTTTGATGATGCTGATAATGATCCTGAAGTATGGAATTCCTTAGGATAGCACCCCAGAGAGTGCTCAGGAGACTGGAAAATGATCTGTCATTTTAACTTTTTCTGGGGAAGAAGGAAGTGAATACCAAAAACTTTAGACCAGCACTGTTTAATAGAACTTTGTGTGATGATAGAAATGTTCTATCCTTGACCATAAAATACAGTAGCCACTAGTTACATGTGCTTTTTGAACCCTTGAAATGTGGCCAGTGTGGCTGAGAAACTGTATTGTTAATTTTATTGCAATTAATTTAAATAGCCACTGTGACTAGTGGCTACTGTTTAGGTCAGCACAGTTACACACTTACAGATTGAGGAATCTAATTGAATTATGGCAATATTTTAGAACAGATTATTTAAAAAGTTAAAAAGTAGTTTTAGAAGCCTTGTAAGGGGAAAGGTGACTGCTGGGATACAGCATGGATTCACTAGGTTACATCAGACAATAATTCTAGTTTTTGGGAACTGACATGG